GAGTGAATTGAGCCCACAACATACAACTTCAAACACAGGGACAGCCCCCTCCCACCCCACCTGTCTTCTAAGGCACTTGGATTTTGAGTCAGGATGTTGGAAATATTTCATGTTGGTTGTATAATGCTTTTAGAATAGCTCAATTTGAAAAGAACCACGCACCCTAATGTTCATAGCACCACTGTTTACAGTAGCCAGGACATGGAAACAACAATAAATGGCCATCAACAGATGACCGGATAAAGAAGTTGTGGTATATTTATACAATGGAAGACTACTCAGTGATAAGAAGAGAATTAAATAATGCTATTTGCAGCAACATGGATGGACTTGGAGATTGTCATTCTAAGTGAAGTAAATCAGAAAGAGAAAAAAACATGATATCACTTCTGCATGGAATCTAAAAAAGAAACACAAATGAACTTATTTACAAAACAGAAACAGACTCACAGACATAGAAAACAAACGATGGGTACCAGGGGAGAAGAGGGGTGGGAGGGATAAATTGGGAGTTGGAGATTTGCAGATACTAACTACTATACATGTAAAATAGATAAACAAGTTTCTTCTGTATAGCACAGGGAACTATATTCAATATCTTATAGTAACCCATAATGAAAAAGAATATGAAAACAAATCTATGTTTGCATGTGCATGACTGGGACATGATGGGGTACACCGGAAACTGATACAGTAACTGACTATATACTTCAAGTAAAAAAAAAATAAATTTTACACATACAAAATGCTAAAAAAAAAAAAGGAATAAAACTCAAAATTAGGTTGGAAAACCCAACCTTGGTGCGGATTAACCTTTCAAGATTACCCCCACCCTCATTCTGTGATCGATGAAAACACCCCTTCGATTTTGATCTGAGCGGACTCTGGTTCCCGAGCCCCTTGGCGGAGTGTCTGTTAGCCTGAAAGATGAGATTCTTCAGGACAGAAAGCAGCACCCCAGGGGCCGTTCCAGCAGCGGGTGGGGAAGGGAGTGGGCTTGGATAATGGTTCAAATGTTCTGTATTTGCTCTTCGGAGCAGCTTAAATGGAAAGGCAACGACTTAACGTGCCATAAAGAGACAAGCCGTGGGTGTTTTGGTTTGTTTTCCAGATGGGGATTAATGTGGTGGACTCCGCAGTGTCGGGGTTAGGTGGTTGCCCTTACGCAAAAGGTGCTTCTGGGAACGTAGCCACTGAGGATCTGATCTACATGCTTAATGGCCTGGGGCTCAATACAGTAAGTCAACTTAGCATATTTTAATATTCATATGCTCCTTGCAGATTCAAGCTGGAATGCGTCTCTGATTTGGGGAGCAACTTTGAGGTCAAGTTTTACTACACTTTTGCTATTTGCTAAAATGCGCGGTGGGAAAATAACAATATAGATTCTTTGGGCGGGGCTGGGGGGAGTGCTTCCTCAAGTAACTTAGTGCTATAGCTCGATGGTCAGTGACGCTACCATTTCACATTTTTTTATAGTGCTTCGTGACCTCCAAAGTGCTTTTTCCTCCACCGTCTGGTTCAGTTCCACACACGCTGTGAGGTGGAGCCTGTCTCTGTTGATCTGATAGTTCTTGCAGTGTTGTCTTCTTGCCTGGCCATTTCCCTCGGAGGAAAACTGAGATCTTGGGTTTCTCACGGTGACAACTGGGGCTTCTGGAAGACAGCCCAGGGCACTTTTTAAAAAGGGCCAGTGGAGGAACAGAGCTTAATAATACTCAGCATGTGAGACACTGGACAGCCAGGCACGTCTTTTGACAAGTGGTACCTGAAGGAGTCACAAGCTCTATAATAAAATACTCACCAAAATCAGTACCTTGTTTTGCCACATGCTGAGTTAAAATGACTTGCTGGTCTGTAAGGCAGATTGCTTTTTAGGGGAAAAGTGTAAAAGGCAAGGAAACGGTTCACAGATAATAAGAAGCTCAAGATGGTTTTGAGATGTGAAAGCATTTATCCAGGTGGAATAAATGGAATTCCCCTCTCCAGCTCTCCCCTCTACTCAGTGATGCTAATGCGGCTCCAAACCTTGTCCACCTTCTCTGTTTCTGCACCATTCGGTTTCTCACCTCCACCCCTTCCCTCCTGTTTTCACCACCTCTTGGAATGTCCTTACTCCCCATACTCGATTTCACCTGGAGACTGAGGCACCGCCTCCCCCAAAAAGGCACCTTCTGGCATCTCGCTGCTCGTTCCCCAGACCCCACTGTTGCGTTCCTGCCCTAAGCGCCACCTTCGGTGCCGCCTTCTTAATCTACTGCAAGGTTGTCGCGAGCGTCTGTCTGCCTAGCTCCCCCTGCAGGCAGAGAGCTTGTAGTGCAGCTTATTCACACTGTGCCTAGAGATGCTTGATCATGTTCCTTGAAGGACTGACGCGACGTGGCCCTAAGCACCAACAGCTGTTGCCTCTCTTCTCTGATTAGGCATAAATATTATTTCATTTACAAAGTAGCGCGATCATTTCCATTAGAAATGTATGACCATGGCAGAAATGGGAGAGAAGTACAAATCCTGCCGTGAACACTGAGATGACTGAGTTGAACTCAGCTGGTGCTTAAGGCGTGTCTGGCCTTGTGGATCCAAATGCAAATAAGCCATGTCTCTGTTCCTAAGAATTTCACATTTCGAGCAGGGTTGTTACGTTGGACAGCGGCTAACAAGCCAAGGTTCTCTGTGGAAGCCGTGTTCCTGTGGCTCCCACGCCTGGTCAGTTACTGAGAGCCACGGATTCGACTTGTCCAATATTTTGTGTGTTTGTTCCTTCCTTACTATTTTTTCTGGGACTACATCAACACAGATTCTTACCTCTTTCCTGGATAGTCATCCTCCGCACTGGTCCTCTGACTTCACAGTGCCTTTGAATTCCTCCTCCATGCCACCATAGATTTCATCTCAAACACAAACAAAATTCTTCTTTAGTATGATGCCAACAAATCCCACTGCATAATTGCTATCCATGGAATTACTGGAAAGCAAAGAACATGTAATTCAGAAATGAAAGGCACATATAGCTAATTCTTCACAAAATTTCCATAAAGGAGATTAAACCAAAGCGTGCCTAACAGTTCTACCTACAGTTGTTACCATGACAAAACCAAAGCAAACGTTCATCCTTGAAGAACAACTTTATCATAAAAAGAAGCAATGAAAATTATTTATGTGTCATTTTACAAAATGTTTTTGGTGATTCTTAAATAGAAGTAAACTATGAAGAAACCAGGGCTCTGAAAGTGTCTGGAGAGAAGTAATTAACTCTGCGAAGATGATGATCATACGTCACGGGTGTGAAAAAGGCCCTGTGAGTAGAAATACTCGTCAATTCTAAGAAAATGACGGACTTACATAAATTTTAGAGAACTTAGTAGCAAGGAAAGCCCTGAGTCTGTTCAATTTTAAGTTCATGCTCTTTCTAGTCCATGGTGAGGGAGGACACAGGAGCTTATAAAACGCTGCCTGGGGGCAAAGCCCTGGTTAATGCACATAACACTCCACCTCCGCCAGTGACAGCACAGACTCCGGGTGGGGCCCGCCCGGCTGGCCTTTGGCTACACCAGACTCGAGATGAGGCGTGTGCCTTCAACTTGGCCTTCATGCCCCACTGCCTACCTGTCATTCATGGATTTACCAAAGCCTTTATTGATTCTGCTCATGCCTTCAGACAGGACAACCTCTCAGGCAGACAAGTTCCAGATGTGTGCTAAATACTACTTCATTTTACTTGACCTGCCACTACCTCCTTCGATTTCATACTAGTAATCGTGTTTCTGAATGTGGCTAAAAATTACACACTCGCAGGGGGAGGGTGTAGCTCAAGGGGCAGAACACATGCTTAGCATGTATGAGGTCCTGGGTTCAATCCCCAGTGCCTCCTCTAAAAATAAATAAACCTAATTAACCTCCCTTCCAAAAAATAAAAAAAGAAAAAGGAAAACATAAAAATTACACACTCACTTTTCTTATGTGCCATATAGCTTTACCAGGTTCATTTCTTCATACAGTAAGAGGTTTTTAAATCTTTTTTTTCCCTAAGTCTTTATCTATAAACTCTTCCAAACCATTGTCACTTTAGTTGCCCTTCACTGATGTTTTGTAGAAAGTTTCTGGCTCTGTCATTGTCACTCCTAGAATTTAGCTCTCAGCCCGAATCACACCGAGTCATTCAGGTGAGGCTAGCCTGTGGGTTTATACTAGGGTCAGACGCGAGCTATGTCTTCACAAGGCAGGAAGAGCTCAGCTTTGCACAGTGGCGGTATGGTAGCCAGTGAGGTTTATCCGAGGCGTGATTATTGCTAATTGAAAATTTTTCCCATAAAGCAGAAAAAGCTAAAAATCTACATGATTCATGAAGACATATGTCTCCCCCAAATCAATAATGAACATTTTCTTTAATGATTTTAAATGGCTAAACTACTGATAAAATTAAAAGGAATCTGTTTTGTCTACTCTTTCCCTAACCGCCCCCCCCCTTTCCCACCTGGTACCCGGTTTTGCCCTCCCCAGGGTGTGAATCTTTACAAAGTGATGGAAGCTGGTGACTTCATCTGCAAAGCTGTGAATAAAACTACAAACTCTAAAGTGGCACAAGCCTCCTTCAGTGCTTGACTTGAGTGGATGCGTGACTGAAGGCCGAGAAGATTGATTTCAACTGCAGAGATCCGCCTGAGAAGCATGACTGTCAACTTGTCCTGAAGTGCGATATAGTAGACAAGAGAGGACAGAGGAGATCCTTTGAAAAAGAGTATTCCTGGATAGATTGTGAGGTAGATGCTCAGTCATCAGGTAAATTGCAAGTGAGGCTCAATAATAAAATTTGTAGACATGAGACATGCTTGGAACTTGGAGAAAAGTCTACTCTTTCGTGCTTATAGAAATAACTTTTTAATTTAGTAGACGTGAAAATGGACTTCAGGTTTTCCCTAAGTGTCAAATACTGTGTTAATACTTAATCAAGCCGGCTTAGCGCAGTGCACGCAGTGTCAGTAGTTTACGAGCTCCCGCGTAGTGTGCGAAGTGGGTGGCCTCCATTCTGTGTGCTGTGCCTCTGGGTCTCAATTTCCCATTTGCCAAGTCAGTTAAATTATGGACCAAGCGCCCGAGCTCCATCCGACCCTACATAATTTTTAGCAATAGAACTTTTATTTTTCAAGTATGCTAACATCTGTTCACTATTTCAATGGCTTTATCTTGTTCCAAGAGGCGGTGGTCGATGGCCAGATGCCATATCCTGGAAACAGATTACCTCCCATGTTTGTCACGTGCGTCCAGCTCATCATACTTTCTTTTCATCAGTTGTAGTAAAAACCGGTGTGGTGTGACTCAACTATCGTGAAATGCGAGGTACAACTTTCATCCCGATGTCTAACTCGTGGTGGTGAGGCCAGGTTGCTACGTGTACCATATCCACTTTTATAATGTTCAGATCACTTCCAGATTGTCCGAGAAAGGTCGCTGTGATCCTAAGAATATTGAGGCAGTTATTAATTTATGAAAAAAAAAACCCTGTTTTTCACTGACTCAGGGGAGTTTGATTAAATCACATCATTCTGAGGGGCGTTGACTTTTTATGGTTGTTTTTAATGTTGAAGTGGCTGAAATATTACTTTTTATAATAGACAGCATTGCCAGAAATAGCAGAATGTACCATTTCAAAGTTGAGAAGAGGCGCAGGAGGGCTACGTTAATTAAAAAAACCTTTCTGGCAAATCCTTTGGGGACAGCACTACTACACAGGGATCTGAAACGAAGGTTGCACTATTTCTGTAGGCTTCTCCAGTGATTCTGGGCGATCTTATCTTTGAATAAATTTGAATATAACTAGGAATATGAAAGTGAGCATTGTGGACTTGCTCTTAAATATTCATCAAGACCACAGGAATAAAAAGAAATTCGAGACAACGAAACAAAGTGCGGATTACCACGAAGGCAACTTTAAAGATTGTACAACGGTAAGAAAAGAATCACGTGGGAAACATACTGGGAATTGACAAGGAAGGGTGACATCACTAGGGACCTTTTGGGAAATGCAGAATCTGGGGCTCCACTCTGGACAAACTGTATCACAGTCTGCATTTTTAAAGAAGATCCTTACAGGACTTCTATGCCCTTGAAAGACTGAGAAGCAGTTGCCTGTTTGACACCTCCGCTTGGGTATCTAACGGGTGTTTGAAGCTTGGTGTATTCGAGATTCCTGGTGCCACTTCCTCTTGTGAGTTGTGTCCTGTTGTAGCCTGTTGTCCCTTCTCAGCTCCTGGAACCCATCATGAGTCAGCCTGGGACCCATCACAGGGCCTTCACCCAGTTATCATCTCTGCCCATCATGTTCTTTCCCTGGTCGTGACTGGCGCCTGGTCGTTCAGGTCCTGGCATAAACATCACCTCCTTAATGAGTCTTCCCTGACAACTCAGTCTAGAATAAGGCCTCGGTTGCTTTCTCTCCCATCAGCTTGTTTCATTTTCATTATTTAGTCTTTAACTCTTTATTTGCCTATCTAGTTGTTTATTTTCTTTCTTTCCCCCGCAGAATGCATGCTCCAAGAAAGCAAGGGCTTGGCTGCATTCATCATTCCTTAGGGCCTGGTGTAATCCGTGTTTTATACACAGTGGTTAGGAGGGAAACAAAATAGAAATGAGTTCAATTCAAACAAGAAGAAGGGAATTAGGAGAGTATGTGACACAGATGTCCCCTCACCTGCCGCCTTCCTCCCCTTGGCTCTGTTTCCTGGCTCCATAAGGTGGAAGAGCCCTGTGAACAGGTCATTGTCAGGATTTCTCCAGGAGGCTTGAATCCAACAGATTTCACCAGTTTTCAAAATGTGGTATCCCTCACGTGTATTATAGCATAAAGGTAAATTAAAGTGGGCGTTAGAGGCAGCCATGATGGAAGGTTAAAAATAACGTGTCAGTTGCAGGAAGGAGGCACCAAAATGCCCAGCCCCAGGAGAGAGGCGGCATAATGGACTTCACTCATCCATCCATCCTGAGTGGGCCCCCGGCATCATCTGATCTGTTACTCAGTGGCTATGCAACCTCCATCAATTTACTGATACTTTTAAACCTCACTTAAAACCTCGCTTCCTTCACCTGTAAAAATTAGATAATAATGTTGGGATGATCTCATGAAATGATGCTTACAAGCGTTTGGCAGGGTGCCGGCCAGTAGTCAATAATTGTTAACTCTCATCATTTTTATTCCTCTTTTCTATGGCACTGCTGTGGAGGGGAACTTCTTTTCCATCATGAGTTGTTTTACCCTCAGGGAGGCTGTGATAAAAGATCACCCTGTATTCTGTCCCATGTAAAGGGTGCATTGTCTTAGAGGGCATATGGTGCTCCCGAAAGAGACAGCTCAGCCGTAAACCCAAAACCATGTAATCTTCAATCGGCCGCAAAGTCCCATGTGTCACTTACCACACTGCACCACTGAGCGACGCCTTCTAGCTGCCTCTTTCCCGTGTTTCACGTGGCTGTAGTTGATGTAGGAACGTGTAGTGAGACTTTTGCTGAGCGACTCTGTCCAAAGGGCATTCTAGCAAGCTTAGTCTCCAAACCCTGCATCACCTAAAGTCAGAAATTCCACCAACATTAGGAATTTATTTCCACTCTTTTGGCAGCTGCATGAGTGAGCAGGTGGTGGGTTGGTTTCTGCCACCAAAATGGAGTTGCCAGTGTTTCCTTGATGGGCCACGGAGGTAGGGCAGACCTCTCCCTTCTCCTCCTTCTACGTGCTTCCATTATGAAGTTGTGTGCTTAGTTGAAGAAGATGATTCTTTGTTTCCATGGGAGCCATCCATCCTCTGACCTAACTGAGCTGTCGTATCAAGCTTATGTGGCTTTGGGAAAGAGTTACACCCTTCTGGGAATTGAGAGGTAATATCTCAGAACTTCTGGTGACTGTTCCATCCAAACTTTCCTTTCTCCAGATAGTCCTTTAATGCCTCAGTCACTGGTAGAGTTGACTAACAACACATCATGGGTCACCAGACCATTGTCCTGAATCATCTGAATCCTGAAAAGCTGCCTCTGAGTCAGAAGGTTTCACAATGGCCTCTGTCTGTACATGGATGCTAATGCGCTGGCTTGTTGGGCAGGCATTCTGGATGCTTTCTGAGAAGCCTGTGGGTCATTACAAGAAAAGCAACACTGCCTGCTCTTTCGTTTTCCTCAGGAGTTTCACCCAGATGTAGCCGGATCACCTGGAATTCAGCTGACAAAATTCATGCTCTGAATATGTGTATCTTCCAAAGAAGAGAAAGCAGTGGAATTGGAAAACCGGTGTCTGGATCTTTCTCTCCTCTCCTC